TTGTTTTAAAACGGAATCAGTCATTAAAGCGACACTGTTGTTTATCTGGCTGTTTATCCGGCTATTGTTGTTTATTCGTTTTTTACCAGGCTATCGCTCTTGCCTGGTCTAAAGCTTTAAAATTAATATTATAGTCTATATATTCCAGTTATACATTTTACAATACAAAAATCTAAACAACTAAAGTAAATCATACATTTTGATCAATCGAATGCACGATATTAAAAATAAACACCCCTGGAAACTCGTTCTTTGCATTTCACATACTTCAGCCTACCCTCCCACGGGACAAAGCGAGTTGTGATGTCACGTGACCTGCCTGTACTAGGGTCTCTGCTGGAGCGTGTTTGGGGAGAAGCGGAAGTAGAGAGACGACTGGCTTGCGAGGTTGCTTAATCCTTTGTTTGTTGTTGTATTTTTTAGTTAATTTACTTATTTGTTTATCATGCATCTTTGTGATCGTATGATGGATATTGACATACTGTACATTTTTCTTGTTGTGAATTATTTGCAAACGATATTTTAAATAACTTTATGCTTTAATGGCAGTAGCTTTATGCTCCTTTATATATACAGTTATACACAGTTGTATAAAGCAGAGATATATTTTCTTGGTTATAGAAAAGATACTTGTGCTCACATTGTTTTGTACCAATTTTCGTTTCTTTCATTTGTAGCTGGTATTGCAGCAAGTGTTCCTCAACTTGAAAATATAATGTCATTGATTGGCTCGTTTGTGACAGCAACTGTTGGCTTTCTACTTCCTGCTGTGGCGCACACGTTACTTTTATATAACCAACTTTCAAGACTTACTATTGTTGCAAACATTATTTTCCTATTCTCTGGGCTGCTCGTTCTTTTTGTTGGAGTATATACTTCAATTGCACAAATTGCTGGTGATTACACAGGGAGCCCATCCCGGGTCTTATTGAAGTTATGTATTAGAATTACGTATGAAATATATAGCTCAGTGTTGAAGCCTGCGACTTGCGGGCTGTGTGCGGGCAAACGTGCGCTTTGAATACACAATAAAGAAAATAATCAAGGGATGAAACATCGACGAGTGCCTGGAAGCCCAGAATTCAAAGCACAATATCAGTGTGTTTAAATAAAAAGGTCAGAGTTTTATTACGTTGTAAGGTCCTCTAGGGCCTGTTCTTTCATATCGTCTAGCCAAAACCTTCCAAATAGTTGCTAACGAGGAGAAATATTTCGATTGATCGCACAGCAGTGTATGGTTGGATATGTCTGGATGTGTTCCACAGGTTGCTATGACATGCTTAAATGCTTACTTATTTCCTACTACACACTCCACAGATGTCTAAAATCATATGGAAAATATTAAATAGTATTGTTAGTAGCTGTTGGCATATTCGAATATAAAACACATATAAAATTTTAGACACATACAAAACAACATTTCAAAATCAGTGATCGGCCGATCAGCCGGCCGTGAGAATTTCAAAAAATATGTGAATTAACTAACCAGTAAACCGCAATATTTTTTGGATTTTCCAAATTATTGCATATGACAAGCTTGTAATCAGAAAGGTAATTTATGAAAGAAGTTCTTTTGTTGAAATTTATAGAAACTTAAATCGATAATTTCTCAATGTCATAGCAACCTATGGAACACATGCTTCCAGGCACTCGTCGATGTTTCATCCCTTTATTTTTTCCTTTATTAAGCATTCAACACATGCTTAGCCCGCACACAGCCCGCAAGTTGCAGGCTTCAACACTGAGCTATATATTTCATACGTAATTCTAATACATAACTTCAATAAGACCCGGGATGGGCTCCCTGTGGTGATTACTAACGCGACACATGCATGCGCACGAGTATGACTGATATGTGGATAGTAAGGATGTATCCCTTGGGATAAGGCCCTAGTGTATTCAAAATACGAGAGATTTTGTCGTGGTGACGGTGGTGTTGGACTGGAAATTCAAACACTTTCCTGGCATCAAGCACTTGATATGGCAGTTCAATATCAGCTCATAAAAGCAGGGCCGTAGCGAGGGGGGTATTGGGGGTGGTTAACCCCCCGACTTTTTTAGAATTAACATATTCGGAAAATTGGGTTGGCCATTCGGAAAATTACGCCAATAATAGTATAGCAAAATTTTAGTTGTTAAACAAAGAAAATATAATATAATTGTATTATTGGTATAAACTGATTTACGAAATCATGGCATTTACATGGATAACATTTCACAAATCGCGGTAAATCGGTAAATGCATGTTTTTCGATTTATTACTTCTAAATCGCAACTTAGCAACCGGGGGCTGGGGGGCTGTAGCGGCCCTCCCAATAATTTCCTAATAATATATTTTTTTTTAAATCATGCAGACCTTTACATTTAAATAATATACCTTTAAAATACTGACAATTGATTAATTTTAAGCGGCCACATTATCTACGAGAAACTGCAAAGAATCATATTAATATTACCCACATACTTTCCTGCAACTTCTCCAATATGTAGTTAATTAAATACGCCTTCGCCCATTTAGTACTACTAAATTGTAAGCAAATTGTAAATTTCGACAAACTAAAACGCTGTTTTCTGACCATCAGAATTCTGTCAAAACTTCCCCCAAAGTCCAGGAAATGACATTTCGGAGACTCTAAATTTAAAAATTTCCTTGGGCCTTCGGCCCTCGTTCTCAGCCCCCCACTCAAAAAGAGCTTTCTACGGCACTGCATGCTTCTGTAATATGTCTGTGCGTAACTATGCGTATTTTTGTTTGTAAATTGCGTCTTCATTTTCCGGATAGCAAACACCTTCGTGGCTTCGTATACCATGAATATTCGGAAATATTTTTCGTCATTCGGAAATTTTTGGCTTACACTCTTCCCCCCCAACTATACATGTTAGCTATGGCCCTGCATAAAAGCGACTCCATTATTTTATATATAGGTGATTATATATGGTATTAACACGTTCCAGAGCAAAGTGAAATATTCTATATAAGTTATTAAGAAAATTCATGCCAAATTTGACCAACATTCTAAAAATTGTCAACAAATGCACAAAATTCTTTTCGTTAACGCTAAAAAGCCAAATTTAGACAATAATTTGCCACAAAAAATGAAGTGTTGCAAGATTCGATGTAAATTGGTCGTTTTAACATCATCCTGACATTTATATACAAAACAGTTTACACTAGCTAATTACAATCACCTAAGGCATTGACAATTTGACATAAAATCTATATTTTGGCACTGCAACTGCAGCGCCAACTCGAAAGCATGGACATAAAATCTACAACATATTGGCACTGCAATTGCAGCGCCAACTCAAGGCATTTAGATATAATCTATAACGTGTTGGCACTGCAATTGCAGTGCCAACTAAAGGCATTGACATATGATCTACAACTTATTGGCACTGCAATTGCAGCGCCAACTAAAGAGTAAAGGCATTGACATAATTATGATCTACAACTTATTGGCACTGCAATTGCAGCACCAACTCAAGACATTGCCATTGATATAAAATTTATAAGTTCATAAATAATGGTACTGCAGTGCCGAGACTAGATGGAAGGAGATATGCTTAATTTTGAACAACATTTATGGTAAAATTAAGACATTCTACAGTTTGATAGGGCCAAATCCCCATTTTATTCATTGACAGTAGTCAGTGGTGAGTCATAAATTTAATTCACTACATCGGTATATGTTTTCAATAACAATATGATACGCAGTATATAGAAACCATCCAGTTATCAAGTATTTAAAATTTCTGTCCTGAGACTGAGGCCTAGTGTGATTCAAACAAATTCGGCAATTTATAGTTAAAATTTTCCTAAATGTTCAAATCAGTTAAAATTGCAGAATAGAGAATTAGTTATTTAGTAGAAAACAGTTATCCCCAAGCCAACGGCGCGAAGCGCCGTGCGGAGGGTACTAATTCCCCCCGGCTATTTACACATGGGGAAACGAAACCATTAGCGAAGTCTAAAGTTCATCAATAATCGCGGGCTTGGATCACTGTGCGTGTTTCGGTGGGTGGTCATCCTCACTGATCTCATAATATAGCGGACTGTCACGAAAAGCTAACACTGATTGGTCCAATTTAAAATTGGCATTATTACGGCTGCATGACGACAGCGAAATTAATGATTTCTGGCAAAATGATTTCTTGCAAATATATTTCATTTCTGCAAGATTTTGTAAATTTCAAAAGATTTTTGATGAAATAATGGCAAAAGAATTGCTAAAAGAAGGGAGTAAAGGTGCCGACGTTAACGAAGGTAAGTTTGTTTTAAATATTGATGCATTGTTTGCTTTCAATATACTGTAATTACTTTAAAAGCCGATTGTTTGCGTATAAATATGAAACAAGACATCGTATTATTTCAGTGTTTCTTTATTGATTACCCTTTTTATTATACTAAGCAAAGTTATTTGCATGGGAGAATTTGGAATCATTTTATTTCGAACTCAAAGTTTATCGATAAAGGCAGTTAACTTTAGTTCGAATTCGAGGGTACCTAAATATCGAGTCAGGACTCGAGCCAGGACTCAAGCCAGGACTCGAGCTAGGATCCGAGCCAGGACTCGATTCAGGGCTCGAGCCAAAAATGACGTGAAGTGATTTTGATGGATGAAAATTTACCAACAGCGTTCTCGCTTTTAAGGAACTTTCCTTAAATTTAGACTATTCCTTCACCAACAATGCGAAATGTTTAAGGAAATTTAACTGAAACTGAGGAATTGTTTATCGATAACCTAAGGAATGTTTGGCAAATGGAAAGTGAACCCCGGGGTTGAACTCAGCCCTGTTAACCGGGTTGAAATGCAATCACATGGACGATTTCAACCCCGGGGTTAAAACGTCATACTATACGAGTTCTCGGCATCGATTCGCGGAAGTAAAAAGTCTTTATTTTTTTCTTGTAATAAATAGTCACTACCACGCATGCTCGGTTGAAACGATTACATGACAAAATTTTCAACCCAGGGCTGAGTTCAACCCCAGGGTTGAAATTTCAACCCCGGGGTTGAAATTTCAACCCTGCTGAAGCAGGGTTGCAATTTCAACCCCCGGGTTGAACTCAGCCCTGGGTTGAAAATTTTGTCATGTAATCGCGCGTTTGAAGTTGATAGAGTATTGTATTACAAACAGGGCTGAAATTTCAACCCGGTAAATAGGGCTGAGTTCAACCCCGGGGTTGAAAATGCTCCATGTAATCGGCCCCTAACTGTAACGGTTAAAAGCGTCGGAAGACAGTGAATGAAACAATAGTCAATACCATTGTTGTTGTTTGTCTTTGATATATTACACAAATATCGATATCCATTGAAAGGGAAATATCCGGCCAGTATTTTATCGAACTAAAGCAATTGGTATTTCCCATCACCAGCAGTCTCTCGCTCTTTACAAAACAGATACTTGTTGCCGCTCATTACCGCTTAACATTCGTCAAAGAGTAGGATAATTCTCCCTGCCTTATTTTCCTGTAATAGACGCCAATATCACCAAACTGTATTATAGAAGAGCCGGCCACGCTGGTTAACTGCCTTTTTGGTCTTGGAACCTCGCTCTCATTGGTAAATTACACAAGGTGATTAGCTTAATTATTGAAAGGTTGTATTTCAGTTGCTAGTAGTAGAACATTTAGCAAGCCTGCGTAACGTGTCTTATGAAACAAAACCATTGGGTAATGGCAATTCCCTGTGTTTTCGAGTCCTGGCTCGAGTCCTGGCTCGAATCCTGGCTCGAATCCTGACTCGAGCAATAGTATATCTCTTCGAATTCTATATTAAAAGAACACTTTAAAACGTTTTGCGAACCGTTTGTGGTTGAATTTTACCTTAAATTGAAGCTTATATTACGTATAATAACATACCTAACATACATATGTATGGGAAATTGATAATTTTGTAATTAAAAGTGATATTCAGTTTAGGGGATTTCCATTTGTAAAAATATTCTTAAAAAATTATCGTGTTACCATGACAACTACTTTAAATACTTCACGTTCGGAAAATACAATGGTTTTGTCAGCAAGGCGAGGGTTTCTGCATGCATGTATTTTCTAGTAATAATTCCTAATTCCTCTCCCTTGCCATAAAATGACACATTTGGCGTTTGGTCTCTGCCGGGCAAAACCTTGAGTCCTGTAATTCAAAAGCGGCAAGATCAACACATTCTTTGGATAGTTCATCCGTCCATATTGTGCCACCACATGGCCATGGTACTTTTTAATTTTTATCCATCTTCGAATCAACACGGCCATGGGTCACTCCAGGTCTGACATACGGTCCTGCATGTATACACCTACAAATGCGATTTAATGTATGATCAAACTACTAGCTCAAATATAATATTAGTGAGTTTATTACATGTATAGGTAGTGAATTCTGAAATGAGACACAAGGGTTTTAATTCAACTGGGCCTGCTAGACTAAAATGACTGAAAATACTGACTGCATGAAAAACGGCAAACATCGCAAGTCTATATTATCCGCATTTTACAACATTTCGCAACGAAACTTTGGAATATTACTAATTTTGTGACGCTCTTTCAAGCTGTGATGAAACTTCTGCCTAGACTTGTTTAGATCAAAATTTAGTCTTGATCACTTATTACATTCTCTATAGAGAGTTACTCAAAACCCACGCAATATATACCGGCAAGCAGGCAGTTCCTATAGTACAAATATCGTTACAACTCTGCGCAAGAAGACACAATATTTTTACATAGGCCTATTGTGATTGCTAAACATATAAAATATATAGAGAATAATACATGAGTGCGCGGAAATACCAGATTTATTTTGAGTGTTGAATATGATATCTCACGAGTGAGCGCAGCGAACGAGTGAGATATCATGTTCAACACAAGAATTAAATCTGGTATTTCCAAGCACCCATGTATTTTTCTGTTTATTATATAAACAAAATTCAGTGAGAAGCAATAAAACGTCCATGGCAATGCGTTTTAACTGAAAAGCGATCATTTTCACATGAGAAATTATCATAATAATTATAATCTCACTCTCACTCTGGAAATCCTATGATCTCTATAACAGTATAAGACTATATTATATCATGTAGCCAATTCACTTAACTCAAGGCACGAACGAGGTTCTAGAACTGTATGTGTCAGTGTTGGTAGTGCCAGCAATAACAAGCTTTCGTTCGTAGCTAGGGATTCACGCAACTACCTGAAAAATATACTGACTATAGGGCGAATTCCGACATTTCGAGCGAAGGCCCTTCCTCTGGAGTATTATAAAGCGTATATATTACACTGGCCTGTAGGCCAAGTGTCTTAAATCCCTCTTTTTCTGTTTTCTGTTTTCGACGAGAAATGGATTTTGCGTTAGCTCATCGCAGGCTCAGGGTGCAACGTGCTCCAGTGACATATTCAGTTCAGTTTCAAAATGGCGGCTTTTCAATGAGCGATCTAAGAATTTTCAAAGAATTGTGCCGGTTTCCTATGGATTTTACGTTGTGTCGCACTCTGGCCTTTCTTGCGTGTTGAATTAGTGTGTTTTTCTTAGTTTGTGTAACGACTCGAAAACCCCAAAATTTGGACCCAGCGAATTTATACAATATATTGGAATATAAACAAGGACAAGTTAAAGGTTTGATAGTTTGACTTTTTAATTAACAAGTATAAATGTACCTTGTACGTAGGCTCATAAACATGCGTTGTGCTCTTGTATTTATTTGCATAATTATAAATTTGCACCTAATTACATTAATTTGCGCCAAATTACTTTCTAATTCATCATATATTACTATAAAATGTATGTTTTCGATTGTATTCAGCGAGGTGGCGTTGCGTGCGGCGAATTGAAACGTGATATGGTTCGATTTGTTTTTGAAACAAGATCCAACTTTCCCCCAACTTTTTTAATTCTCAAATTGTTTATTAGATGTTTACTGGTTGGGGTTAGAGAAGGCCTTTGGGTTGGGATCAGTTTATCTTATGAATGGAAGCAAATTGGCGTATTTTTTAGAAGAATCGTCTACGTCTGTGAACTTTTTAGCACCTGAAACTAGCCATATAACGGCATTAAAAGTCAAGGACTATAATTTCTTCGCTATTATTGGCCCGTCATTATTCACCAGTGGCGTGCTGGGTACTATTTTTCTGGAGGGGCCAGTGGGCTGTCAACCAATATGCGCCCCTATAATGTTACAATTGAGAAACGAGGGCCGAAGGCACGAGCCGAGTGCCGCAGGTGCGAGGTTTGTCTAGGGGGGTCCGGGGGCATGCCCCGCAGGAAAATTTTTGAATTTAGAGTCTCTGAAATGCCATTTCGTGGACTTTGGGGGAAGATTTGACAGAAATCTGATGGTCAGGAAACGGCATTATAACGTGTCGAAATTTGCAATTTGGTTAGAATTTAGTAGTAGTACTTAAATTATGCAATGCTAACTACTTCCAGCGATTAATTTAATCCCAATTCTGTTTTCTACTGATCTACTGTCCAGAGCAAATTTACAACTTAAAGCTCTTTTATACAATAACACACGCACCCCACGCATATGCATTTTAAGGTTTCCTTGTCTGGCTGCCAAAAGGGCATGTTTCAGCATTATTTCATTACTTACATTACTCATGCTTCTTGTGCAAACAACTAAATTGCGTACACAACTTTACATCAGTTAACACAACTTCAACTATCTAATTTGCGCCGCTCTCGTGATTCGTGAAGCATAATAAACGGCATATTTTAAGGGCATAATACCAGCAAAAAAGGGCATAATTCCCGTGATCGCTTCGATCGAAACCTGACCAATATTCCGGTAATGAAACGTTGCCTGTGATCACTGATCATGTTTCTATATGAACGATTTCGTGTGAGCTGTGAGGTAGCAAATACGGTTAGGCAAAATAGTCTGTAATTTAATATATGTCGCCTGTGCGCTTAGTCTGTTTTATACTGTAGCCTATAAACACGTCTTTTCTTGGCGGAAGCAACCATATTTTTTCGAGAATGTGTTTTTTCCCACCCACTTTCAAAATTCGGCGCCCCATTTTCATTTTTGCGCCCCCCAAGAATTGCCAGCTGGGGGGGCCGTGGCCCCCCGGCCCCCCCTGCCAGCACGCCACTGTTATTCACGGTTGGTAGTTTATGATCATAGTATTACAGTGGGCCTGGATTGTCAGGTTGAGTTGCCTGTAGACGGAGGGTACGTCTGAGCCGGCGTCTTGGTATATTATGGTTGATAGTTGCTGATCATGATTGTATTTATTGGTTGTATTTATATGATCCAGTATCCCTATGATCCTGTATCCCTATCTACTTCTCTACTACACATTACACCCAGTACCACGAAAGTTGCCATTTTCAGGCCAGTGTGAACGCCTGAGCAGGCGTCTGGTTTAATATTAAATACTCCAGACGAAGGGCCTTCGCTCGAAACGTCAAAATTCGCCTTATATTTTTCAGGTTGTTGCATCTCCACCAACGAAAGCATGTTACAACGTTCTCTAGAAGCTACTATATGTTTGAAAACTTACCCTCAGCCCTTTGCATGGCTTCTGTAATTGAGTGTTGCGAATTCATGTTGTTGGCTTCTGACATTGAGCGTTGCCAGTTCATATTCACATAATACTGCGATACCGCCAGACACTCAACTTGGAACAGTTTGTCTCTCTGAATAATCAGGAATCAGCAATAACGAATATAATTCATAAATAAATAGCAATTTATATTAATATGTGCGCTATAAATTTATAACATGCTGAAGAATGGCAGATTGTTTTGACTTTGGACTTCAGAGGAAAGTTAGTTGGAAACCCACGCAATAATTATATACTGGCAAGCTTGCAATTGTTGTGTGCCAATCAGAACACTGCGTGTATTGGCATATCGTCGCTCATTGGCTCCTATCTGTGCGTTAGTGCTAAATTAAATTTTATTTTCGCCTTTGGAAATTTGATAATCTTGACAAACAGACAAACGCGCGTTACGAGCTGACAAAGCTAGAATTTACTCGAAAATTTATGCCAATATATGAACAGTTTTTATGCGGAGTAAAAGTATTGTTTAGTATAATAGCACACGCTTACAGACTACGTAAACATTCGAC